CTTTGTGCAGCCCTCCCCCTTCCGCCGTAGCAGTTTGCGAGGGGTGCGGGCGGAGCATTGGAGGGAATGGCTGCGCTGTCGCTGGGGAAGGGATTTTTCCCCGATTGGAGCAGTTCCGCGGGCCGATCCCTTTTGTGTGGTTGGTTTTGAGGTGTGAGGCGGTTGGCGAGGTCAGGCGAGGAGCCTTTTGGACGCGTTGGGAGGGCGTGGAAGACGCGCTGTCATGCACCCTGCCAGGCGACTGCACCCCGCGGAGGCTCTGGCTCCGTAGTAAACCCGGGGGAGGAGAGAGTGGCTTCCTGTCGGCTTCATTGTCCTAGGATTCAAATATAGGGTTTTGGTACGTTTCGCTTCCATTTTATGCAAGCGATGAAAAAATAACATTTGCAGCTGCCTAACACAGGGCGGGAAGACGTGGGATTTGTCTACTAAGTCACAGAATCTCTGTTCGGTGGCGTTTCGTAGAGTTTTATTTATTTATTTAATTTATTTTTGAGGAATGTAAGGGAGACAGGGACTATGCCTGCTGGAGTCCAAGCACCGCCAAGGTGATCAATATAAAATTACTAGGTGACATTGGAGCCTGGGCTGGAGAGGGCCTGACAACGAAGCTGTTGTGTCAGGGAAATGAACCAGCAGAATTGTTTTTTCAATGGGCGGGTAATGCATTTATGTTCTTGAGGGAATAGATACATCTTTCCGTTTTATTTTTTAAGCAAGTAGAACAAACAAAACAACTGGCCCAGTTCATTTCTGTTTCCGAAGTTGTTACCTCATTTTTATTGTATTAATGAAAATTTAGCCATTTGGGAGGAATTTGGCGAAGCAGATGATACATTTGATTGAAAATGCATCTTTTAAAACGATTTCATGCTCAAGTTTACAATGCATACAGCCGTTTGCTGGCGTTGCTTCTTAAAACACACCAGAAGAGAGGATAAAGCAGGATGGGGAGGAGCAGGTGGAGGAATAATGGGAGAGGAGAGAGTGACATTTTGACTATAGTATCTGGATCTTCACTGGTATAACCCTAACTGGGTATGCTTCAGAGACTTAGGAATTCAGCTCTGGAAACAGTACACTGATGAATAGCAAGTTACGTATTTTTCTGTCATTATTTTTTAAAAAGTAAAACTAGGGCTGCCTTTAGCTCTTCCTAACTTTGTAGGTAACACAGAAGAGCCCAAGTGCACTTGACAGAGGAAGACACTAAAACTCAGAAAGTTAACTGACTTGTCTGCCCAAGCCAGACTGTTAATGGAAGGCCGAGCCAAATGAAACTCAAGGTCCATTCTGCAGAGTGATCTTTCCTGTGTCCCCCTAGCCCTTTTACCCTGTGAAAATGTATGGAAAGCTTCTTTACGCTCTCCTTGAGCAGGCTGTGACTATCACTGAACTTGATTCTCACCGTTATTAATCAAGTTCTTGCCTCTGCGATGTAAAAGTAGTAATTCTTCTGAAATGGACCTTTAGTTGTATAAAGTAACTTACTAAATGAGGAAAGATGTCCTAACATGTGCTTTTCATAAAAACGAAGTGTTGCAGTGTTTTCCCTACTACTTAATGGTAGGTTTTAGTATTATTTCTTGAAAATCAATAGTATTTTATAATAATATGATGATCAACTCTATAGGCTGTGTTAAAAATAAAATTTCTGCATAAGAGCCTGTGATGTTTATTTTACCACAGTTAATGAGTTGTAATCATTAACGAGTTATTAGTGATTACTTTCAACTTAAATTAGAATTTACATTTTAAGATATATTAACTTTGTTTTTTATTGGGTTGATTTTGCCATAAAGTGCTCTTTTCTTGCCTTATAATTTTAATCGTTTAATTTTATGTTGCATTTTAATAGACTTCTTTAAAGGATTTATTATTTATCTTAAATTTCAACTTTAAAAAATGTGTAACTAAATTTCATTGTGTGGAATTATATTCAATCATGCTTTAAATGTATTTTACTGGTAAATTGCATTGTGTTCTGAGATTATTTTGTATGGAAATAATCTGCCTGTTCCCTATTTTAACATTAGAATAGTGAAATTTATACTGTAAACCTTAGCATACATTCTGCATATTAATGCTGCTATGGTACTTTTTAAAATTCTGTGCTTCGTGATTTGTTTGATTTGTTCTAAGTATCAGTTTCTTGTTCCTTCTTATCTACTGAAAAAAAGAACTAGTTTTATTATTGTATCTGATTGCAATTAGATAATGCTCATCTAGTACTAAATATTGTATATGCTTAAGTTTTTTTGTCAAAATTTTTTTATTCCACAAAATTCTATTCCTGAAAAATATTTTTTCTATACTAATTAATATGTAAAGACTTTTCTTTCTTATCTGTCCCAAACACTGGGATGTTAAGCAGTGTACTTTTCAACTAAGTATCTGACAGACAACCTGATATTTAATTGCTAACTAAAATATCTGTACAGTTGCAAATTATTCTGGAAGTATAACAAAAGAGCAGTTACATGCCATTTGAAGAATGCTTGGTGAGTAGATAATATTGACTGAAGCATTCAATATTGATCTGTTTCATTAAGAAATGGGATACTTTTGATGGGAAGAAATATCAGACCATCTTTATCTCATTAATAACCAAAATTTCTAATCAAATACCCTAGGTTTTGATTTACTTACTCAAATATTTCATGAAGGATTGTTCAGCAGTGAGTTAGCCACTGTGAGAGAGAAAAAACATCTGTCTGGTAGTGTGGTTGATTAAACTGGATATATTGTACAGTTTAGCAGAAATGTTTTAGCCAAAGCCAGTGACATAGCCAATGTGTGTTACCGGTAAAGCCCACTTTTGTATCAAATAAAGGTGCAGAAACAAAACAGCAAAAGCAAAGTTAAAGAAAACCTCATAAAATCTACTTACATACAAACAGGGATTGTGACAAAGTATAGAAGTGGAGAAGAATCCCAAGCATGCATTGTTGAGGTCTGAAAAACAAATGACACATAGCAGAGAACAAGTCATTTTTTAGGTATATCCATAATTAATAAATGATATAGAAAATATTACCCTTTGAAACACAATATTTATTGAATAGTTGAATAATACCTACTAAATATTGAACATCTCCTAAGTGCCAGGAAGTGTGTCTGTGATGTGTGTGTATTTAATTTATGCAACAAATTTCTAAATTAAGGTATTAGTTTTACACATTGAAAAAATTTGAAGCATAAAGTTAGTGAATAACTTTGCCTCTGTGTTACACATTCCTAACTGATAGGGCCTATAATTGAACCTTTGTCTTTCTGGCTAAAGCCAAAATTCTTTCTACTCATCTTAGTAAGTTAAAGAGTACCACTTGTTTCCTTACTCTGGTTCATACAATTTTAGAATTCAAGGGAACTTTAGAAGTCAGCTCATACAATGTGCCACCCACTACTAATATCTCTGAGATGTTATTAGGTCCAACTTCTCCACAAACCCTTCCCTGGACATAGAAAAGCCTGTTTAGCTTCCAAAAAGTGTAATAGGAAGATCTTACTTAAATTGAGCTAGTAGCTGCTTTTACTATATAACTTCTTCCCATTGGTTGCAATTCAGTCTTTAGAAGTAAGATGAAGTAAGGTTTTTCTCAGTGTATTAACTAGATTTTCTCTTGTCTAAATGTTAACAACACCTCCAACTTCATGTAATTTCCTTTGCCATCCCTCACATCTCTAAGTTGGATTCAGTCAGTTCTGTCAGTGCCATTCTTTGTGTTCTGAGCTTGTTTCCATATTTAATTCTGCAGTTAGGGTCTGAATGCAAAGTGCAGTGAAATTGTCCCTTTTCTTATTTCAAGCCATACACACTTGTGTTTAAAGTCTAAAATTGTATCAACTCTTTAACAACAGTAATCTCTGCTAATTCAAAGCAAAAAAACAGAGAGAGAGAGAGAAACGTTACATGGCTTCTCAAGTTATAGTTATGTAATTCAAGGGATTATTTTTTGAGATTTTATCTCCTTTTCTAATGTTCATAAATGGCCTTTATTAAATGATAGTGTTAGTAACACCTGTTAATGATAGGTGTTAAGTTTCTTTTGATGTTGGTCATGGGGTTTTGTTTTCTTTTATTGTTCCTAATTAACCAATAAAAAGTTGGCAGCCTTATGTTGATTCTTACTTTGTTTTCTAGAAAATTGGTCTGGAAACCACTGACGTAGTCAACATAAATCAACATTTTTACACGTAGCTAGATCTGTCCCATTGTGTATATA